AAAAATAATAATAAAGTATACATCTATTTGTAGGAAAAAAAGGTCTGAAAGCATAGGTTGTTATTTCTTAGTGTTAGGATTATTGGTGATTTCAGTTTTTTTCTTTTTACTTGTCTGCATTTGCTGCTTTTTTCTATAACAAGCATAGGTAAGTCCCTTCTTTGTTCTCCTGGGCAAATAATTTGTTTATGATGACTCTTTATTATAAGATATGCTTGTTTTTCTTTGCTACATTTCATATTACAATTTTAGTAGATTAATATCTAAAATCCTAACAGTCTACCTGTACAGTGTTCTTTCTGCCTTTAGGAATAGAGAAAATGGAACAAATCAAAGTTAAATGGCTTATTCTGAATTTCAAGCATATCAATAGAGTAGCCAGAAATCAACCTTAAATTTGATTTCAGTTCAGCTATGTACACTATTTCTCAGCCTTCAGCATCAGTGTATGCAGTCAAGTCTACATTTTCTAATAGGTATGGAAGAATATTATCATATTAATAGTTAAATATAAGCCTCAAATATTTGGGAAACTTCACTCACTGATTTTGATTACCTCTCCATCAAGTGTTTTTCTAGAGCTCCTCACAAGTGAAAAATTTGACTGATTTTAATTTTATTACAGTTACCATCCAAGGGCTAACAGCAAAATGGCAGGAAGGCATGCATTGAGATAGCAGCAAATTTCCCTCTTTCTTGGATTGTAAACTTATAAAATTAAGTCAAAGGATGAGTATTTACTATAGTCATTCAGTGGCGGGTATGTAAACTTAGCCAGGAATATTTAAATCATATTCTCATGTTTTTACTTAGGTAGTTTATTAAAAATGTCATAAAAATTAGTGATAGAATTAGTGTTGTCATTCTGAAGTTTCAGATTGAAATAAAACTATCTTATAAAAGATACCAAATAAAACTATCTTTAAAAGCCCATAGAAGTGGATGAAAATAAGAAGAAATAATTTTTAAATCTTAATAGTTTTCAATATGTGATCCTGGACTGGAATCTGTACTAGAGAGTAAAAAGTACAGTAAGGACAACTGTCAAAATTGACATACAAATGGTGGAGTTAATAGTATCCTATCAACATAAAATCTTCTGAATTTAATTACTGTGGCTAGATAAGAGAATTTCCTTCCTTTTGGGAAATACATACCAAAGGGCATGATATTTATAACCTACTCTCAATTCAGAAAAAAATAATATGTACATATATACATATATGTGTGTACACAAAGTGAAATAGTGAATGATAAAACAAGTGTGACAAATGTCTTTAAACAACCTAAGTGCCCATCAATACATGAATGGATTAACAAAATGTGGTATATGTATACCATGGAGTACTACTCAGCCATTAAAAAAAAAAAGGTGAACTACCTCTTATATTATCCCGGATGGAGCTGGAGCCCATTCTTCTTAGTGAAATATCTCAAGAATGGAAAAACACACACCACATGTACTCACCATTAAATTGGTACTTACTAATAGATCAACATTTTTGTGTGTACATGGAAGTAACACTTGTCAGATATCAGTAGGTGGGGGGGGAAGGAAAGGATGGGTAATTTACACCTAGGTGGAGCAGTACATGCTCTCCAGGAGATGGGCACGGTTGTAGCTCTGACTTGGGCAGTGCAAAGGCAAATTATATAACCAAAGCATTTATACCCCTGTAATATTCTGAAATTTAAAAAAAAAACTGGTTAATATGGATAAAAGATAATCAGGGGTTAACTGTAGTATTCTTGCAACTTTTTATAAGTTTGAAATTATTTTAAAAATAAAGTTTATTTTTAAACTTAATACTCACGGGTTCATTTTCTTAGAATATTATTATATATATTTAAATCCCATTTTTTCCATATCTCAATCTGAAACATCAGAATCTCATCACTATATACAATGTATCACTAAATTTTATGATTTTTTTAAAAGAGAACCTTTAGAACTTGAGAATCTAATCCAAAGAAAATCTTCATGTTTGAATTTATTTGTAAAAATTAGATAATTCATTGTAATAAACTTAGATAAGGAAAAATATGGAATAGGATTGACTGGACAGAGCAATTTTATTAAGACTGACACAGTTACGAATTAATTTTAATTCTAAAGTTGTTTAAAATGAGAATTGCTTATAAAAAAATATCTACTTACATTGTGTGTGTTTGGCACCATATGTAACACTGTAATTAAGCATCTGTCTACATTTCTAGGAGTTTTTAATTTGTAGAATCTTGCTCTGGGGCCTAAAACTTCAATACTTAAAAGGTTTCACCAGAGACCTCATAAACAAACAGATTTTTTTTTTCTTTTTGGCATGAGAGGTTATTAAATAATACAAGAGTGACTGTGACTGTAAGGATTAAAGGATATGAAGATTCTTATTTTTTCTCCCTTTTGAAAATCTAAAAGTTTTAATTTGAAATTTTTAATTTGCCTTGTGAGATTATTCCAGTCACTTTTAGAGGTAATTTTTTAAACTGAAGAGCTACTAATACTATGTAGTGATATATCTTACTTGTCTTACCATATAATTTGATAAGATGCAAGTATATAATACTCTTCTAAAATATATAATTATGCATTATTTTGCTATTCCATAAGATTGCTGTGAACTATGTGGTATAGGAAAAAACTTTAAGACCATAGTAACTGAATTTTCACAAAATCCTTTTTTCTAGAACTGCTTTCTTATAATTTCAATTTGGAAGAGATTCACCTTTGTAAATAAGTTAGATATTTACTCTGTGGTCATAATCTTGAACTGTTGTAATTGAGTCAAATGCAATTCTGAAATAAAATATGAATTATTATTGGTTATAGAGTAAACACAGTTTTGTCTTGCATGTATAAAATGCAAGTTTAAAATTCAAGTGAAAATTGTTCCCCAAAATTAAAAAAATCCATAACCACAGAGCTATGATCTAATAATTACTTTAGATACTATATATTTCATCATCTTGGGGTTGTATCATCCCAGATTTTTAACATTTTGTCTATTTCATCTTTAAAGATAAGAAACAAGATTTTTACAGTTCAGCATATTTCACTGAGGCCCATGTGTTGCCCTCATCCTTTCGGTTGTTCTTTCATGTCAGGAAGAGATGTGAGTTATATAAAAGTGAAAATATTGCCTTCTGTGTTAAAGTCTATAACACACTATTGTGGTATGTTGGAGAAAATTATTTTTAAAAATACTGAGCTGGAATGGTTACACAGAAACCTGATGTTTAGGAAATGGCCTATTGATTGACTGTCTAAAGTTAGAAGCATTGACCTTGAGGCTCTTTTCTCCAATAGGTTTGCATTTCTAGCTTATCAAAGATTGCTATCTATAGTCCGCTAAAAGCAAAGGCTCATCATATCACACTGGACATATTCAAGGTACTGTTTTAGCAAAAAAAGATAAAGATATAGATACAAAGAAAGAAAGAATGCAGATTTCTTACTTTATTGCATTAACTGCTTCATATCATATCACGGAGGCATGATTTATTTTATTTGGTGACATGGCTACTATGCTAATTTCTGTGTTTGTGCCCATCTTTAAAAACATATAACCAGGAAAAGTGGATCTTACAACAGGTTTTCACCTGTCTCTAAAAGATGGAATTAATGAGGAAATAAAGGGAGGAAAGGAAAGTCTACAGAAATGTAATAGAAGAATGCATTAAATGTTTATATTTTTTGTCTGTGGCATACTAGCAACTTATCAGTAAGAAAATGTTTTCCAGCTGGGGCTGTTCTTTTTTGGACCAACTATATGTTCAAATCTTATTCCCCATTGATCAACTGGGGATAATTCTGAACTTTTCTGAATCCTTTAAAGGATTCAGTCTACAGTTGTGAGAGATACATATAAAATATTGATATATAGAGAATATTTGTGTTTCTTAAAAAATTTTTGATTATACCAGAATGGCTTCTAAAAGTCTACATTATATATCATTTTCCCACTTTCTGTACCAACATAAGAAGTAGATGCAATAGGTCTCATTTCTTTACAAAAGAAATAAACAATTAAACTGCCTTAAACTGAAACCATAAATTCTAGTAACTGTCGTTGAATTTGAACTCAGCTACTTCAACATATGTTTACTGGGAGCCTCTTACGTATCAGGCATTGCCCTAGGCAATAGGAATAAAGGGTCAAACAAAACAAACTTCCTGCCTTCATGGTGCTTATGTTTTATTTACTAAGCACTATGACATTTAGAAAGTTCTGTAACCTCTCCAGATCTCAGTTTCTTCATCAGCAAAATGAGGATAATACTATGTACTCAGAAAAATTATTCTCAGGGTGGGTACATAAATTAGTATATGAATGTGTTCAGTGCCATGCCAGGAACTTAGTAAATAATATTGTCTTAATTTTAACTTTCTGACTTTTTTTTTTTGAGACAGGGTTTCTCTATTGCCTGAGCTAGAGAGCAGTAGCTCACTACAGCCTCAAACTCTTGGCTTCAAGAGATCCTCCTGCCTCAGCCTCCCAAGTAGTTGGAAGTACAGGCACTTGCCACCACACCCACCTAATTTTTATGTTTTTTGTAGAGACGAGTGTCTCATTGTGTTCCTCAGGCTTCTATTCAACTTCTATTCAACTCCTAAGCATAAGCAATCCTCCCGCCTTGACCTCCCAAAGTGATAGGATTATAGGCGTTAGCCATTGCACTCAGCCTCACTTTTATTTCTTAATAAGAATAATATTAATAATTACCAAAAGTACATATTACAGCCATATTACAACTTAAAATCTACTTCAAAGTGAATTTTAAAAATTTTCCACATTCTATGGACTATTTATTGATAAATAAATATGGCTACAGTAATACCTAGGAAGAAAATTTTACAGACATGCTGTCAAATTTGGGACTTTTATAAACTATTCATATATAAGAATGAACCCCAAACTATTTTTTGAGAAAATCTTGGCCCTTCCTTCCCCCAGGGATCCCCTTACCGCCATCACCCTCCTTTGGAAGATAGAGGAGCCATCTATTAATATTGGGGCACATATCCTGGCTAGGCTACATAGTTTCTGAAGTGGCTATTAAAGCATATTGATGTACTCAAAAATAGCAAAAATAATTTGTCATCCAGGTTCTAGCCAGAGAATATAACTTCAACCTTTCTACTGTACAATTCTTATTTGGCAAAAATTAAAACAATATTGATATTTGATCGCTTAAAAGATTATCATACATCCATTCCCTTATGTATGCTTGATTTTACCCCATGAGCAAACCAGACTAGCACAAACTATCAGTTCACCTGAAACACATTATCTTGATGCTCCTCTGAGTTACTTCTCCTGAGTTGCCCTTTGGTATATCATAAGTCTACACTGAAAACACAACCATAAAAGAAGAGCTATTTTCCACATCTGGTTTGCTTTTATCACCTAGATTCAGTGAATCATAATCAGTTATGTTGCCCTCTTTGTGTTTGTCAATAGGAAGCTCAGAGTCAAACTTTTGGCTGTATCTAGCAGCTGTACAAGTACTTACCTTATCTCCACCTTTATCTTACTTCTCTGGTTTCTTTATTCTTCACCCCTTTTTCTTTTATTGTACTTTTATCATAGTGTACACATAAGTCATCTCAAGTGCTTTTTTTAATATAAATAACTATTAAACAAACAACCAAGGGTAATTTTACTACTGTATTCTTACTTAATATTATATTATTGAAATGTTTACTGTTAAATCACTGCAGAGGTTTATCATTTCTCATCCCCCTTTGTTATAATTTTAAATATAATATTATTTTTTCCTAGTAAATGGGTTATAGCATTCTTTATTGTTGGGATTTCTAAAATACTTGTGTCTTGATACCATAGATTTTCTTCCATTTACAACTTCTCTTAGGAAAACTTTTCACAAACCTGTATTTCTACTGATGGATATAAATTATTGGCCGAAAAACATTGAAATCTGATCAACTCAAGAAATATTTTCAGTAGCTAACATCTTCCTTTTTTCATGGGCAGATTAATCCTCCACCGTAGTTAATCTTGTAGGTAGATTCACAGGTGTTTCCCAACGGTATGACTTCGTAAATTTCCTCTGTAGAATGGAAATAAAATACTAGATGTCATCCATCTATAGTGATGCCCAAAGGATATATTTGAGATTCTTTGGGCAATAATTCCTATCCTTTGCTGTTTCAACAAGATCCAAATAATAATATTTCTCACCTTGATTTTAGAACACTTGGAAGAAAAAGACCTTCATAGCCTTATAATTAAATTTAAAATGTTGCTTAGAGCCTGTATACAAAGCAAAGAAATGGGAGTAATATGTACTCATCGAATTCTTTAACACATGTAAAATGTACTTTACATCAATTATAATATCTCAAACTTTAAGACTGTGAGCATTTACAATCCCAGAAGTAAATTTAATTCCAGAAGAAGAAAATTTAATTTCTTGAGCAATAATGAAAGATTTCAGCCGATAGGTCATCTGAACAGTTGCAAAAAAGCCTATATGAAAAGCCCAATTAATGTTTTGAAATGTCTTTTTAGGATTAAGTTCAGTAGAGATGTAGTAAAGATTATTATTGAAAACAATTTTCATAACCCTTCCTAGTAATTGTTTAGCCATATCTGGTTCTGTTCAATTTTTATCATAAGTCAGTTCTTAGTGGAACTTCGTGTCAGTTCAATCGTTCATGAATTCTCTGTACCCTAATACTCTGTTATATTATATGGTATTGAGTAGTCAGTCCTATCTAATATGTTCTTGTTTCATTTTCTAAACTAGTCAGCAGTAGGAATTTACTATGTTTACATGATATATTTGTGAATATATTATTTAATTAAAATCAATGCATTTTATATTAATGGAAGATGTGCTATATGTATTAATGGTGTTATATAAATAACTTCAGGATCCTTTAAGAATTCTTGCCTTGTAAAAGGCATGCATTGTGGATTTTTTTTAAAAAAAAGACATTTAAAGAAGAAATACTTTTGAAGATAGAATGAGGAATAAAATTATAGTAGTACCAAACGGAGTGAGGATAACTCTAGACATGGAGGCTGAATGTAACAAAAATAGTCTATTTCTACATTATCTTAACTGGGATGAAAAGAAATCAAAGTGTTAGGAGCATAATCGGCACTCTAGAAGCTATCAGAGTCTGTGCTAAAGTGACAGAGAGCTTACATGACCAGTAGTCAGCAAGTTAATGACATTACCTGACAAAACTAGGTCTTTTCAAAGTGAATCATTAAGAAATCAATCAAAATAGAAAATGTAGTAACTTGATGCCAATTTTATGTTGCTTATAATAATTTGCTTTATGTGATATTTTATTCATCTCATTAGTTAATGCTATGAATGCATTTGAGGCTATTTTGTTTCTAGTTTAGAATTAAGTTTATAATTAGATGAAATAAAAGATAAAAGAATAAATAAAAGAAACATAAAAGATACAAGAATTACAAAGGAAAAAACACCTGAAATTATTCACATATTATATTGATTGTTTATGTAGAAAATTCAAAATCTACAGATAAATTTTTAGGAAGAAAAGGATAACAGCAGGGTCTCTATACAAAGTCAATATGTAAAAATCAAAATCAAATGCATTTCTATATGACAACAACAAGTAGTTAAAAGTAAAATGTTTAAAAATCCACTTATAGTAGCATCAACAAATACACAGTACTAAAAAAAGCTAAGATACATATGTTCATAGATTCAATCACTCAACATAATAAAGATGTCAGTTCTCCCAAATTGATATATAAGTTTAGCATAATTCCTGCCCAAATGCCAGCAAGTTTTGGTTTTTTTTTAAATAGATGTAAAGTTCTAAAGTCCCAAGTCCACCCTCACTTCTGACACTAACTGCAAGTTTAGGTAGCTCTAAGACCACCTTCAGGTTTAATAATTTGCCAGAAAGACTGAACTCACTGAAAAGCTATTATATTCACTGAAAGCTGTTATATTCACAGTTACAGTTTCTTACAGTGAAAGGATACTCATTAAAATCAGCTAAGGAGGCAGCACATAGGGAAAGGTGCAGGAAAATTTCAGGCATGAGCTTCCATTTGTCTTCTCCCAGTTGAGTCATGGATAGCACTCTCTTCTCTCAGCAACACTGTTTGAGAATACACATGGAATATTGCTAACCAGGGACCAGAGGCTTGATTTCAAGAATTTTTATTAGGACTCAGTTACTTCGACATGGTTGACCACCCACTTGGCTAACTTTAGTCTCCAGACATTCCAGATGTTGAGCTGATACCCCTGATCCAAAACCTCACTGTAAATCACGTTGGCATAAATTATCCGGTATGGCCCAAATCTCCAGATAAAGGAAGACATCCTTGTCAGCAGGACAGTCCAAGGGCTTAAAGATTACTTCCCAGGAACCAAGGGCAAAAGGCCAGACCTCTCTTTGGGCAAGATTAATCCTTTATGGTAGAGTAGAGATAGACAAAATTATTCTTTATTTATGTGGAAAGGCAAAGGAACTAGAATACCTAAAACAATTTTGAAAAAGAAGAATGAATCAGAGGAATCAATCTACCCAATTTCAAGACTTATTACTGGCAAAGATGGAGAGAAACTGGAGTACTCATATATTACTGGAGGGAATATAAAATGTTAGAGTGGCTCTGGAAACAGTGTGCCAGTTGCTTGAAAAACTAAGCATGCAACTAACATACAACCCAGCAATTGCATTCTTGGGCATTTTTTTCTTTTTTTTTTTTATTGCAGAATATTACAGGGGTACGAACACTGTTTACATATACTGCCTTTGCACCGCCCAAGTCAGAGCCACAAGTGTGCCCATCCCCCAGAAAGTGTGCACCGCACCCATTAGGTGTGAATTTACCCATCCCCATCTCCTCTCTCCCACCTGCCCAACACCTAATGAGTGTTACCTCCATATGTGCACATAAGTGTTGATCAGTTAATACCAATTTAATGGTGAGTACATGTGGTGTTTGTTTTTCCATTCTTATGATACATCACTTCGAAGAATAGGCTCTAGCTCCATCCAGGATGATACAAGAGGTATTATTAGTTCACCATTTTTTATGGCAGAGTAATATTCCATGGTGTACATATACCACATTTTATTAATCCACTCATGTATTGGTGGCCAGTTGGGTTGTTTCCAATTTTGGGGCATTTATTGGGAAGAAGAAATGAAGACTTATATTCATACAAAAACCTGTACATGAATGTATATAGCAGCTTTATTCATTATATCCAAAAAGCTAGAAACAACCTGGATGTCCTTCAATGGGGAATCATTAAGGTTAAACAAACTGTGGTACATCCATACCATGGAATACTGCTCGGGACTAAAAAGGAACAAACTATTGACACATGGAACAACCTGGATCAATCTCCAGAGAATTAACCTAAAATGAAAAAAAAAAAATTCTAAAAGGTTACATACTGTATGACTCCAATTATATAACATTCTTGAATGACAAAATTATAGAAATGGAAAGCAGATGGTTGCCAAAGGTTACAGAGGGGTAGGAAAAGGAAGAGGAAGTAGGTGTGGCTATGAAACAGCAACATAATGGATCTTTGTAATGATGGAAATGTTCTGTATCTTGACAAACATTGTCAATATCCCAACTATCATGTTGCACTGTGGGTTTACAAGATGTTACTTTTGGGGAAAATGATAAAAGGAACACAAGATCTTTCCATTATATCTTACAACTGCATATGAATCTACAGTTATCTCAAAAAGTATAATTCTAAATAGATTAATTAATAAATGAATGACTCTAATAAATGAAGCACAAAACCTCCATGGGAAAAAAATGATAAAACTTTATTGAGTCATTAAAGAGCTAAATAAATGGCAAGACACGTCATGTTGGTCAATTGGAAAGGTCAGTGCTTTCGTCAATTCGGGCTGCTATAACAATACAATTGACTAGATGGCTTATAAATAACAGAAATTGATTTCTCACAGTTTTGGAGACTGGGAAGTCTGAGACCAAGGTGCCAGCTGATTCAGTGTCTGATAAGGACTTGCTTTCTGGTTCATAGACAGCAGTTTTTCTTTTCGCTGGGTCTTCACTGGCTTCTTTTATAAGGACATTCATTCCCACTCATGAGGTTTCCATCCTCATGACCTAATCACCTCCAAAAGCCCCTTCTCCAGATATCAACACATTGGAAATTAGGTTTCAACATATGAATTTCACGGGACAATACCAGTATCACTGCACTTTATAAATTCACAAGTTTTTACTGCCATGTTCTTCTGTAGGCCCCCATGTCCTTAATTTCAAAATGGGAATACTCATCAAATAGTGCAAAAACAAATAGGAAATTTCTATGTTTTATGTTTTTAATAACGCTTATTAAGCATCAATTTTATGATGAATTCTATTTAGGACAGTTGTTTATAAAGTAAAGCAAACATTTATAAACCCTGAACTACAACTTCTGGGATAAATAGCCTTATCCCCAAAGGATTTGGAGATAAAATAAGGTACTTCTGATACATGAAATCACTAGTAAAGCAAAGCGATTACATGAGAATATAATACAAACTATATATAAAATATTGAAACATAAAGAAAAGGAATAGTTGGTGTGGGCTAAGATTAATCAAAGAAAGCGTATTAGAGGAAGCAAATAATAAACTGGATCTTAAGGCAATTAGACATACATTTTCTGAAAATTTTTACTATCCCAGTGATTCATTTGTTAATATTGACTATATTAAGGCAAAATGTCTGTGTAACTTTGGGCTATCACAACTTCTCTGGACTTTAGATTTCTCACCTGTCAGATGACACTTTATTATTATTGAAATGAAATTTTATGTAGGATCATCCCACATCTCTACTGTTTTATATTTGATATACTTCTATCTACACTTAAACTTGGGCCAAGCTAACTACATCTTGGTAATACAAGCTCATGAACAGTTAAAGTTTGACTCTCTGAGAGTTCTCGGTTCTGACATTCCTAAACCTCTTTTGATGATAATAAATTGTATTTGCTAGATAAGCACAACATTTTAGCTAAAAAGATCTGGAAGACACTTTGAGTCTCTGTCAGTGCTTATC